GTGCCTGCGGCGGTGGCCACGCTGCCGCGGTGTCCAGCCGGCGCCAGGTGTTTGCTTCCTGGTCGCGGGCTTCAGCCGCCTCGCGGAGGTCTGGGTGATCGAAGCCGGCAATGTGGAGGGCGTGCGCACAGTCGCCCATGCCATAGGTGTGTGGGAGGGCACGGCACCTGGAGGCAGCTTCGGTGGGGGCACACCAGTCCATGCGGATGAGGAGGCCCAGGACCCGTGGGTAGATGAGGCGCGCTCCGTGAGCCTCCCCTTTCACGAAGTTGTGCCAGTTCTCACCGCGCGGCGGTTTGGTAGCCTCGCACATCCAGAGCGCGATGGGTCCCCAGGCGAGGGTGTCGTCTTCGAGGCTGCAGGGCGGGTGAGGCGGCACCGCGTACCACGCGGCCAGCGACGGGTGCACACTCACGTACGTGCGGTCTACATTTGTGGCGGTTCGACCCTTCGCTTCACGGCGGGGGCCCGGCAGGAGGTGACCTCCGTTGAAAGCGAGACGAGCCGCAAGGTCGCCGCGGGTCCCGTGCCAGAAGACCGTGGGCGTGTCAGTGGTGGGTTCACGGAGGTCCCACGTGAGGTAGGGGAAGATCGTCTCGCCTGAGTTCCCACCCGAGTCTTCCAGCACCCAAGTGAGTCGGTTCGGGGGCCTCTGCATGATGTCAGTCCACGGCGCCAACGCTTGGAGCGTTGGGTCATGGGTGAATCGAGGATGGTCGTAGAGTCGCAGGGCGTCTTTGATGTCCTCTGTAGTCACGCCACTGTTACCAAGCGCAAAGCCGTTCTGGTACAGGGAGGTGAGGATGCTCGTCGGCGGCACGGGGACCGCTGGGTCGCGCTGGATGGTGCTGCGTAAGTTGCGCGTCGGTGGCCTGAGGGCTGGGTGGGGCGTACCAGGGCCTGGAGGCGCCTGGGGCCTGGCGGGTGATGCGTAGCGTGCTCGCCGTCGTGGTGGTTGGGTGTCCATGTCGGAAGAGGAACCACGAGCATCTGCATGTCGGAAGATGGACCACGGGCTGTCGAGGGTGCGCTCACGTGTTTTACTTGCCTCGGCGTCGGTGGCCTGAGCTGTGGCGTCTTCGTGAGTCGGCGGGTTGCCATAGGCCGCGCCGCTTGTGGGGCCGTCTCGCGGGGACGGGCTGGTCGACCGTGGTGTGACAGACGAGGCTCGCGATACCGCGGCAGTGACTTCAACAATGGCGGCGGTGGTGGCGGTGGTGACCTCGGCGACTGCGGCGGCAACTGCAGCAGCATAGTGTTCCTGTAGCAGCGGGTGTCGAAGAGAGTGCACGTGCTGGCTCTCGGGGTCGTCGGGGTGCGTGCGCGGCATTGTGTGTGTGGCCTCATCGCGCGGCCTCCTGATCGGTTGGCAACAGCGGAGGCGCCACTGGGCCGTGGGTGAGTCCAGGGCGCGCGCACAGATGCGGGCTCCTACGTGTCCGACGGCTCCTTGAGCGAGAAGTTTGGCGCCGACCAGGAGAAGACCGCAAACCACTCCGCCTGTGGCAATAGCTCCGAGTTTGCCGCTGGCCCATTTCAGGGCACCCCAGAGGCCAGACCCGACTGCGCTGGCTCCGCCCGAGACGATGTCTCTGAGTTTGGCACTGGTCCACTTGAGAATACCCCACAAGGCGGGCGCGGCGTCGTGTGCCGTTGTGCGTCGGGGCGTAGTGGACACGGATGGGCCTGGTGCCGCAGCTTCACGGCGTCGTCGCTGCCGGTAGCTGTGTGGACCCCTGGGATGGGGGGGGGGTGAGGCCCCCCAGGAAAATGCAGAGGGAGAGAACCGCAAACCACGAACCAGTTCCCACGTCGCCCACGAGCCGCGAGCATGATACCGCGAAACTACGGGCAACGTCGGCCTGTCGAGTGTTCGCGGCGGCAAGATCGCCCGCCTCTGATTCTAACGGCGTTTATCGGTGAAGCTTCGGCCAGCGAGAAGCGCCTCGATAGGAATTCATTCTTCGGCCAACGAGAATCGCATTTATAGGAACTGGTTCGTTTGCTGCTCACGTATGAGCTCTGTTTGTTGATCAACCGTTCGGGCCCCGAGGGGTCGCTGATGAAAAAACTATTGTGCGTGTAAGTCCACGTGTACTGGCGTGCGCGCACGTGCGTTTACACATGCCATGCGCTGGTGATTGCACGGGTGATCGTGCTGATTGTGATGGTGCCGATCGTTGCACGCATACTCATGATTGTACTTGCACAGGCGATCGTACTAGTGATTGAACGCCCACATCCCCCACAGTGGGACAGCGGAACGGCGAAAGCCTCTAGGATTACAACGGCAGGGCCGAGAGACCATGCATTGCACGTGAGCGGACGCCAAGACGACGACGGGGGAGACGTGGGATAGCGCAACTTGCAGTTAGAGAACACATTAGCTTCACAAGAGAACGCATGAAACAAGAAAGCTCCCAGTACGTTTTCGGTCAGAATCCCAGGCGCAGACTTCTGTCCCCGAGCGGCGAACTATGGACGGAGAGTCCAAGAGAATCTGTAGTGTACATATTTCCTCGCAAGTCTAGACGCACATATGTTGCAACATGAAACCGACAGATTGTAATGTATAACCACTGCCAAGCAATCGGCTGGCAAACCCAAAATGCCGACACAATACATGTAAGAGCGTCGTGCCACACAAGCCTGCAGCTGGCGCGGCACCAGCGTTAGATCATCCACCAAGCTGAACTTCCATCACCTGCGATGGCTGTCGAGATAGCTGGCCATCTGCGTGTGGCCCAGCGCCTCGGCGCGAAACTCTGGGAAGGAGTCCAGCAGACTGCGCAGGCCACTGCTGACGCGCTGCTTGTCAGCATCGTCGGAGACGAGCGGCCACCTGAGCATGGTGGCACCGTCGGCGGCGGTAAGAATCATGAAGCCCGAGGGGATCACGATCATGCAGTGGCCCTTCGCGGTGTTGCCGTTCTCGAACTTGCAGAACCAGCCGCCGTCGTGGATCAGCGCGATCAGGCGGGAGCTATCGCACTGGTACAGGTAGTCCCGCTTCTCCGCCCACGTGCTGCCTGGCACGCGATCGGGCTTGATGCCCGCCAGCGCTGCGTTCCCTGCCATCATCACGACGGCGCTCATCATGCAGTACGGTGCCCAGTTGACCAGCAGCGCAGAGGCGCCAGTCGCGAGCAGCTCGAACTTGAATACCTGATCAGCCCACTCCGCCTTCGGAAGGGGCATCTTCGTGCGGACGTCCTGGCCGAAGCACCCCTGCACTGCCTCGTCGAGCTTACTCTCCGCAAGGCGGCCCGCTGAGAGGACCTGGCTGACCGTGCCCATGCCCGTCTTCAAGGACAAACGGCACGCGTTCATCCCTTTCTTGACGATGGGCAGGCTCATGATCTTGTCGAAGGCTTCTCCGCTGGCAGCGTTGGCAACCGCTGGGCGCAAGCCGCCCTTGGCCTCGAAGATGGACTCGGCGATATTGTGGAAGTCTACTGCGGTGTCATCAACCAGGATGGTGTGCATGACAGGCCTCGTGGCGGTCTTCATCGACGCATCCTTCTCTTGCTTCCTCGTGGACGAGTCGCCTTTGGCCCGCGAGAGCCCCGCAGTCTGCGCCGTCAACTTCCGCAGGACCGCTGCGAAATCTGCCACCGCGCCCGCGTTCAGAGTCTTCGCGTGGGTGACGAGGGAGGCCACGGCGACGTCCAAGGCACCGGCAGTGGTGGACGTATTCACGTCGACCTTGATCTTATCGAGGATATTCTTGTAGTCCGAGTTCACGTACTCGATGGCCTTCGAGTTCAAGTCGTGCATCTCCGCTCGAAGATCTTTGATCGCTTCCTCGCTACCAGGGTTCGCTTTCACCACCTTATCGCACTTGCCGTCTGCTTGGGTCATCTGGGTCTGGAGGTGCGCGATCTTCTCCGTGCGCTTAACCTCGGCGGTCGAGACCCTGGCCAGCACGCCAATCCTCTTCACGTTCAGGGAGGCCCTCGACTTCGAGGAGTCCGCCGCCTCGCCTGTTGCGACCGCGATGGCCCCAGTCCCCTGGCGGGCCAGAGCGGCCTCCATGTCGTCTGCCGCCGCCATCGCCTTGTGTGCCTCATCCAGTCGCTCGGCCGCCGCTGCCTGCGGCGGGCAACGCATCGCAAACGCAAGAACACACGTGAACATGAGACAAACACGACTTGAGCACGAGTTGACATTTCGGTATCTGCCCCGAACGTCACTCCGGTAATTTCCCACAAAACCCAAACATGAGTAAACATGAGTCAAACACTAGTTGAACACTAGTTTTGTTTTCTTGTTTCTAGTATGCGACCGCTGTTCGAGGGTATCCCAGAAAAACCGAACATGAGCAAACATGAGTCAAACACTAGTTGAACACTAGTTTCGTTTTTTGTTTTTAGTATGCGACCGCTTTTCGAGGGATCCAGAAAAAAACCAAACATGAGCAAACATGAGTCAAACACTAGTTGAGCATTAGTTTCGTCTTTTGTTTTTAGTATGCGACCGCTTTTCGAGGGGATCCAACAAAAACCAAACATGAGTAAACATGAGTCAAACACTAGTTGAACACTAGTTTCACTTTTTGTTTTTAGTATGCGACCGATTTTCGAGGGGATCCCAGAAAAACCCAAACATGAGTAAACATGAATCAAACACTAGTTGAACACTAGTTTCACTTCGTGTGTTTAGTATGCGACCGCTTTTCGATGGGAACCAGAAAAAAGCAAACATGAGTAAACATGAGTCAAACACTAGTTGAACACTAGTTTCGCTTTTTGTTTTTAGTATGCGACCGCTTTTCGAGGGGATCCCAGAAAAAACCGAACATGAGTAAACATGAGTCAAACACTAGTTGAACACTAGTTTCACTTCGTGTGTTTAGTATGCGACCGCTTTTCCATGGGATCCAGAAAACACCAAACATGAGCAAACATGAGTCAAACACTAGTTGAACACTAGTTTCGTGTTGGTTTTCTGCCACTAACGTACACCAGTGAATCCCCAGGAAAAGGCGGATGGGCAGGAGGCTAAGTAGCGGGGGAGTTCCCTTTGAGGCCTACCCAATGTGCCTCGCGATGGATGCCGGCCTCGAAGTGGTCGTGCCACTGCGGGAGAGTGACGCCGCCGTTCGTGGGGCACTGGATGTTGGGAGCATCGCGAGACGGGGCGGCCTGGAAACCATTCATGGACTGCTCGTGTGCGAGGGACTGGCTGTCTAACTTGGTGGAGCACTCCTCCACTCGTCTGGCGAGGTCTTCGCGGCCCGCGACCGCGTACTTGCCCGTGGTGGCATAGCCCTGAGCCTCGCGGATGCCCGTGTGCATCTTGAAACCTTGGTAGTCGTGGACGTGCCACTGGCCAGCGCGCCAGAGGCCTTCGCCGCGCTCAACGATCCTCTTGAACTCCTGGGCGGCATCAGGATTGCTGACGCCCTCCATGGCCACTCGCCGCTGGTAGATGTTGAGCGGGATCCAGTCGTCCTCCTTGACGTCGTCCTTCACGGCCATCCTGGCGCTCGTCTCGGACACCTCCATCTCGTCGAACTTCCGCTTCGTACCTGGAACGTGCGCCTGCTGCTTGCGGTACCACTCAGCCTGATCGGCCTCCGACTTGCCATGCCACCACTTGCGCAAGCATGGCTTGCCCTTCCAGCGAGCAACGAGGCTGTTGTAGGCCTTGACGTCTGGATCGCAGATTTGCTGCGTCCCGCGCGAAACACAAAGTGACATCGGCCTCTCCTGATGGCACTTACAGCACCAGAACATATCTCGTGAGCCGACCTTGCTGGGGCGGCTGCTTTGCCCACGGCTGGGGCGCTGGGCGACGCCGCCACCAGGTGTAGTCGAAGGCGTCGGCGGCGCTGGAACTCCCGCGAGAAGGGACTTCTGCGACAGCGCCTGATCCACCAAAGAGTTGCCGCCGAGCACTCCACCAGAGTGGCGTTCCATGGCCTGGCCAAACTTGCCCAAGGTCGCAGCCTCTGCGCCCAATCCGAGTTGAGTAGAAGCGACGCTGGCCACGTCCGCATCGCGTTCCCCAGTCGGCGAAGCATGTGGGACCACAGTAGGCGAGGCTTGGCCTGCAAGATCCATTGCTCAGGTAGTGTCGTCCACAATGGGAGCGACGAGGTTGCGTATGCGCTCGCAATGAGCGGCTCAAGTCGAACTGGAAGACAAATCAACACGCCCAGAGATGCGCCAATATGGCTTGATCCATAAATGCGATACAGAAACGTCGTTCAGACATATTAGGGCCCGACTCAACTCGATGTGCTCACAAATCTGGGAACGCATCCCAACGACATCCCAACGTGCTCACAAATCTGGCAACATGCGAATCAATATCGACATCCAAAAGACATCTCGATGTGCTCACAAATCAGTTATGTAAATAACACTGCAATTTGAGTTTTGCCGAAGGGCAAGCGTTGAGGTTCGAGATCAGACTACCAAATAACGCACGAGCCAGAATCCAACATCACTGATGCGAGCAATGGCGTTTCCTGGGTGCACGGCTGGTCCAGACAACGAAACCAGCGAACGAAACCGACCTGGTTTTTCTAAATAGTTCAGGAACTCGCAACACTGAAATACACATGTGTTGCTATTTGCTGTCTGGCAGTGTCTCTATGCGACGGGGTGCCACTGGGAGTTATTATGAAGGAGTGTAACTCGGTTTCATAGTTTGTTTTTGTCAGAAGCCAATCAATGACACAGTCTGCAGTGCAACGGCAACGCTCGCCTGCGAAGGAAGGTGGGCCATGTGGCCCTCTCGCCCAGCGAAGCTCGCTGAGTCGGCCGCCCAACGCCACAAGAAAGCGCAATGCTCCTCTCTCGTTTGGAAATTTTCGCAAGGCCTTCATTTGAAGCAGTTCTCATGGTTTGGATCTTTGCAATTGACGTACCCTCTCTGCTTCCCATCGTGGCCAGTGCAATGGTCATATATCACTTTGAAAGAGCGGCCGCCCCCACAACGCACGTGGCACCTTTTCCATTCGGTGTCTGGCAAAGAGATTGCGAGCAAAGGCGGTCGTACCTCCACCGACGCTGCTGGCTCGAGGTCGTCCTCCAGGGGAGGCGCGTCGACTGGCGCCTCGGGGGCATCGCGCAGCAAGCGCCTGCACTCTTCGAGGCCATGCGACTGCAAGTCGGCCTCGAACGCGAGCAGTGCATGTCCAGCAAGACGCAGGAAGCACTGGTAATGGTAGTCCTTCAAATCGTGCGGCAGCTGCTTCAACCCCTTCTCAAATAGCATGTCAACTTGGAGAAGACATGCAAAATAACTCAAAGGCCTGTCCTTATTGCACATGAACTTGCGCGCACCACGTATCTTGAACGGCCTAGTGGCACCAGGCTTCCATCCACCACGAAGTAGAGCAAATATCATGTCCAGCTTGCTGGCAAACTTGGTGCTATCCACAAAACAGAGTTGCAGCGGCCTGCCAACTTTACGCACTGCCCTGAACATAGTACCAGCCTTTTGCAGACAAACGACCAACTCCCCGAACTCGTCGTTCACGGCGGTGATTGCTCCAGCCTTGTGCAAATCTTGGATCGTGTTCATGTGCACGCCTTCCAGCGCCGTGTACTGAACCCAGACAGGATCGTCGTCTCGGTCGTCGCCATGCTGTAGGTCTCGGAGTTTGCCTAAACATGCCACCATCTTCTCGCTGGTCGTAGCCTCATACCGCTCCAGAGCCAACTCTCCAACGTCGGGGAGCGCGACGACCTCGGCGGGCGACGAGACAACCAACGCGTCACTCGCACTGGGAATCACCAGGCTGCGAGGCGCAGCAACGATGTGCTCGGGCTCTCCCAGATTCCGCTGGCGCACTCCCAAAGCAGACCCGTCGCCCATCACGGCCCACGTGTACAAAGACAACAGAGACCGCTTCAAGTCGTGAACTAACGGGCGCATGTGGAGCGTTTCAGCATAGTCCGCATCGCACAATAGCGTAACGCTCCTGTCACAAACGTCGGTCTGCAAGGTGAGGCGCCTCCTGACGTTGACGCGATCGCCCCATTCGATAATGTGAGATAACGCAATCTGCTTCCGCTTCTCGGGCCAGGGGTTCACGACCTCAAAAAATGTAACAGAGTCGACCGCATCGATCTGGAACTCGCTGGGCTCATGGCCGATAACATCGATGGCTTGCTCCCAAGGGTTAACCGCAGAGATATCGATTTCATCGGGCCCATGATCGACCAGAGCAAGATTGTACAAGCTCGTCGGTAAAGAAAATATGCTACCAGAGCAGAGCTTCTACTTCAAATACGTGACAACGATCTTCCACGAATATGGGAAGCCTGGATGCGCACTCCGTAGGTGTTGAGTTAGCAGCTTCCACGTGTCATGGGACTGCCTTTCAACGCTGAGGTCCTTGAACTCCGACGCGAGGTCGCATTGGTAAACTCGATCGATCTTGTCCTTCCTGCTCATTTCTTTCAATGCATCTCCCGGAACAACTAAGCTCAACAAATCGTTCAGAAGAGATTTCGAACTCCAGGTCGATTGGCAATACCGCTTGAACTCCGCATCGTTATCCAAGCGCGCCAAGTGCTCAGCCTCGGAGTTGGAAGCAGAAATACACGGAGGTGACATGTTCTTCGCGATGAGGCCGAGGCGCCTGATGATAGCATGGGCCCCCTCTACTCTCCTCCCCACGATCGGTATCAGAGCATACCTCATTATCATGGAGTGCAGGTGCGTGAAGTCCCGCAAGCTGTGCCCTACCCCGTTGGCGAAATCGTCGAGCTCGCTCCTGCAGTGCGTGCCAGGTCGCAGAAGTAAGTGCGCGACTCGATGGAGCAGATGCCCCCTGCCAGCCTCCACTGCTGAATCGTACTGACGCACGCAATCTGCCGCGTCCATTCTAGCAGAATGCAAGTTCCCCCCAGGAATTTCGCACATGTAGATCTTGAGTGCCGCATATGGGATCACGTCCTTGAACGCGAACTTATCAGAAAGCTCTTCGACCAACGAATCCGCCAATTGGGTCTGGAGTCGAAGGAGTTGCGCCCGTGGCTCGCAGTCGAGCTTGCCCATGGCCAGTTGCAACTCGTCGGAGTCGCACTTCTTCAGCGCCTCCAAGCACTGGCCCAGCCCTTCGGCAAACCACCACGATGCTTGCCGCCCCTTCATGAAGCAATGTGCGAAACCAGTGTCTCGTTCCAACAGTCGGGTCTTCTTCTTGTGGTTGCTATGGGACTTCCAAAGACTGGCGTGGCACTCGCAACCCTCGAGGCGACTCGCAAACCGTTCAAGTGTGTTGCCGCTGGTCTTTACCATGATACAGAATTCTAAAAAGTGCGGCACCTGCAGGGAAGCGTACGCATCGTCTATCACGTGTGTCTTTACCTGCCGCTCTGGAGATGTCTTCATTTTTCCCAAGTCAAAGCGATCTTTCAAAATTGAAAAGCGAGGGATCAATTCAGTGAGCGCCTTGACAAGGACCTCCCACCTCCAGCTGATGTGCACTGTTGAATAGTGGTCGAATTTGGATTTCAAAGAATCGTCGAGGCACGTGTTGACGAACAACCGCCTCAACGATCTATCAGCCAGAAAATTCTCTATGTTCCGTAAATCTGATATGAAAGTTTTGTGGCATGGCAACTTCTCAACGGCATGTTGTAACGCGTTGAACATGATGTGCAACGATTCTGGCATGCCCAGGGCGTTCGGGTACATGCGGGCACGATTGTCAGAGTAGTTCTCGCAGCGGTCGCCCTTGGGCTCAAGAGTGTCGATATCGACAACGGCTGACTCAACTCCTTGATCTGTGCAAATTCCATACACCTCAGACCTCAACTTATTATAGTCCTCGATGCTGGAGCACTCGCACTTGTGCAACGTAGCGAGGCTCACAGACTTGAATATAGCCGTACCGTGGCCTCTCCCGATCGTTGACAAACGGCAGGTCCGAGACTGCATCTTGGAGTTGAAGTTCGAAGCCATGATCGCATCGATACTATCATCTTTGGGCCAAGAGAACTTATCTTCCCGAACCACCAGCCAATTCCATCC